TCTCACACACACACACACACACACACACACACACACACACACACACACACACACACGCACGCATGAACTGTCAATGGTCAAACTTCATAATCTATGCTATATATAAATCACTGATTGTGAGATTCCGTGACAACAATTTGGTGGATTCTTAATGAGATCTGTAGCTGTCTGAATTGCTTGATTTCTGTGGTTTCTCTATTCCGAGTTTAGATTATTCCTTAATCTTCTGTGTTTTCAAAGCCATAGTATTGATAAATATGTGCTGTCTATTATATTAAAATGTGTTCCCCCTAAACTATGCGATTGCACGCTAGAATAGATCAAGATGATGAAATTACGTGACACCTGAAAAGATCAATTTATCTACTTGTATTTTCCAGCATAAAGCATAATAAAAACTCAACTAGTTCAATTACCCTGATTAAGTAGTTAAGCAGATTTCCGTAATTACGTTAATTTTATGTCGTGATAAATGGTTGTATAGCAGGTGATCAGAGTCTTATTAAGCCATTTGGATATTTCTTACTGAACTATGCATAGTGGAGTGCTTTAATCGTCACTTATTTTTTTCCTGGTAGTTCAGCATTGCTCGTTTTGTTGTGCCATATAATATTTGGGTTCCTCACTTCAGGTCTGCAAGTTGAAATTAGGAGATCTTAGAGGAGCATTGATGGATTCGGACTGTGCAACTCGTGATGGGAAAGATAATGCTAAAGCTTTCTATCGCCAGGGCCAGGTCAGCAACTCGATTTTTTATAGTGTCCCCTGTATTTTTTCTCTTATGGGGAAAGTCGTGCGTAATTGGTGGTTAAAATTTAATTCCTTCAGGTACATATGGCACTCAATGACATAGATTCAGCAGTTCAAAGTTTTCGGAGAGCTTTAGAATTGCAGCCAGATGATGGTAAGAAGCATGTGCTGTCTTTTTGTATTAATAGGATAAAAATCATCTATATTCTGAACCATACATTGTGTTGCAAGAATTCTTCTGATTTACATTGCAGTTTTTTGAAGAATTTTTTTAGAACTGTTTAACAATTTATTAGTATTTTAGTAACTAAACACTTCTACATGACCGGAAGAAATGAAAGCTTATTTTTCGTTTTTGTAGGTGGCATAAAGAAAGAGCTCTCTATTGCAAAGAAAAAGGTAAGAACCAACTTTGCACGTACAATTTCGTCAATCGCATGTAGTCAGCTGTTTTAAATGGTTAAAATGTTAGCAGATTGCTGATAGGCGCGACATGGAGAAAAAAGCTTTCTCGAGAATATTCCTGTAGAGAAGCGTTGCATTTTGGGTAGGTATCTTTCATTGATTTTCACTTTTTTTTCCCTTTCTCCGAGTATTCTCGTCACAAACTGATGTTCCCGGTCACCTTTATCTGTAAATGCAGGTTACTGATATCTTTTGGACTCGTGCTGAAAATGCTCTTACTTGTTAGATGAATTTCCCGACGACGTTGTAATACATTCCCGAACCAAATTTTGTCACAGTAATTACTTCTAAGCTTAGGGATTATGTCTGAAAGAGAAAACATGATCAATCATTTAAAGTATTTTGTTAAATTTCGGACTAAAAACTTCTTCATTCGAACAAAAAAGGACGATTTCCTTTTCTTGACTAAGTTTCTGTTGTTATTATTTATGTATTGCTGTTCTTGATTCCTCTTACTCACTCCGTCGTTGGATTTAGTTCCTACTCTGGTATTTACCTTTCTTGACTTTTCGTTACGAATTGTTTGCTCCATCATATTCCTTTGGCGATATTGATTCTGCAGTCTCCTAAAAGCCGAGTCTCGACTTTTCTCCGCTGCAACTTTTTCCTCCACAGATACCGAAATCCGCCTCTCTGCTAGAGAAGTTTGTTCGCTAGCTTCTCTTCTTAAATAATCGTACTCCCCTCGACTTAGCTGGACCATGACATTAACAGCCTCCGAATTATTGATGTGCCAAAGCGCTCGAGCTGCTGAAGTGGCGAAAGCTTCCGATTCCAGCTGTACGGCTTCGTGAGTGAGCTTCAACGCCTGGAGGCTCTGTCTCTTGAGCCGCAACACAGGTTTTAGCTTCGATCTTCTTCTCCGCTTTTGATCTGTTTTCAATTTCAATTGCTCCATTTCTTGTTGCGCTTTGTGAATAGCTTGATTTTTGTCGTTGATCATTATACGAAATTTGTCTTCTTCCTCCTTTGTTGACCTGATGCACATTTCTGTAGTTCCTATCTGAGCTTGAATCTCCGAAATCGTATAATTTGCTTTGGAAACTCGTTCTTTTACACTTGCTAAATCCGCCTGCATTTTTTCAAGCTCGTCGATTAAGGGTCGTGAATCTAACCATGACTGCATCGCATCATCTTTAGCCTGTTTGAGATTTTCCTTCATCTTTTCCAGTTCCGTAATTTCGGCTCTCGATAATTCGATGCTATCTCTGATATTATTACCATCCAACTCCATTTTTTTTTCTTGGAAATCTATTAAAGTTTGATTATTATATACTGTGTGCATATATACATCTATGTCTGCCTTTCGATTTTATAGTGTTCTTCGACTTGCATTGTATTTAGTTTCTTGTTTTTTCTACCGATTTATCTGCTAATTGACGAATGAAAAGCTTGTTTCTGTGAATAGCCTGTCGTTGGAATTCTTTGTTATTATAAACATTTGGTTCCTTTCATTTGACATTTTGTGCTAATTGTACGGCACCACTGTCTTACTATAATATGATGTTTTTATTTTTTTCCGGGTTTTTTTGTCCAAACGTGTGCAAACTTAGGTCTGAATACCGGTTAGGAAAATACTAAAGCAGTCTCGATTATTTCCTCCATATAGTCCGAACATCCAAGAAAGCTGTTTATTATCTGTCCTCAATAGTTGTCATGAAAAATAAGTTGTCGGAAAACGAAAGCGACTATTATCATTTCACAGCTTGTTGCGCATTCTGTAATATAGATTCATACAGTTTGTGACTGTAAATCGAAGAAGGTAAAAAATTATTCGGTACTAGATGCAGTAGTATATATCATGAGCTTTGTGCTATGGAAGAATCCTATGTGTTAAGGCCTTGTTTGGTAGGATTTCAATAAGATGTGGTATTTTTTGACTATCTATAATTATACAAATATAAGCAAAAAGTGACTATGTAATTAGTATTATTATTTGATATTTTTTTTTTAATTATTATCATTTATCTCTGTTTAACCACGCACAATAATAAAAGAAAAATTATTTATATATAAATATGAGTAATAATGTAATTATAATTATTTCCAAAAACAGTACTCTTAAATCTTAATTGTTCGTTTGGCGGGAGTTTCTTTCATCAGATAGAAGCTTAGCGAACCGGGCCAGAGCCTCTGCATTAGTCCCCTCTCCTTGAACCGGTTCTTGCCTGCCGGTTTCCAAATTCACTCTAGAAACCGGTTTTTTCAGCAAGCTCTGACCAATCTGTACAAGCGTCTGCATATTCTTCACCGTCGCAATATCAACAGACGATGTATCCCCCGCCAAATTATCCTCCTTTTTTGTTTTTTTTATTGTCCAAAATAAATAAATTAATTAAGGGGGAAAAAAAACATAAAATCAAACTTCATGCAATAATAATAATAACAATACCTGAATACGAAGATAATTCTGCTCGTTGCGGCGAGATTGAAAAATGGTGGAGACATGAATATCAACCATGTCAGCGGAACCATCTCCGTAAATATTGACCAATGGCGAGTCACCGTCGTAGAATACCCAGCTAAGTACCCCCCACTTGGAGGCATCTTTCGCGTTGTACTTTTCTGCCATTTTAGCAACGCCGGAGCCCAAAGACAGCACCAGCATTCTGGTGCTGTCCATTGGCTCCATGTCTGCCACTTCAAATTTCCCCGATAATATTTCTTTCGATACTTCCGTTATAGCCACAAGCGTCTGTAATAATAACGGTTTACCACAATTAGTACACATGTGTTATTTTACTGGCGAAAATATGAGTGGGTTTGAGGGGGAAAAAATATAGAAAGTGACTAAAATACCCTTCACGTTAAGAGCGATATTGAGTTATTAGAAACAAATACGTACAGGATTGTTGGCTGCCATGGCACCATCGATGAGATTGAACTCTCGTACATTCCCTTGCGGGTCCCTCGTTTCGAAATAATGAGCCGGGAAATAAGTTGGAGCAGCTGACGTACCAAGGGCGACATCCGACATTAAAGCATTCTTGGATGCATTTGCTTTCCCCTGATTTTTTTATTTTTTTTTCAAAATTAATCATATATATAATTATTTGTCTGGTTTAAGATAAGATGATCATATATATAAAGATAATTTGATGTAATATAATAAGATGAATTAATATTTTACTTACATCTTTGGTGGTGAAGATAGTAGGTTGAAGGCGCTTGATATCAAATGAAGGAATAACCACATTGGTTAATGCCTGGCTCACTGTGATATTACCTAATAGCCCCTCTACCAATGTTTTCAGGTACTTCCCGTCGTACTTTGGTCCCGCGAATAAATTCGTAAGTGTCCCAACAAAGTTGTTCCGTCTATCATATTCAAAAAAATAATATACGATTATTAGTTAATCAATTTTAGAATAGTCGTAATAATTCTTGATCGAAATACACAATTTTTTTTTTTTTTTATCAATATTACAAACGACGAACCGGCTCTCGGGGAAAATCTTGGGGCAATTTTCCAAGTAGAAGCTTGTAATATTATTTGCAGCATACATAGGACGATTGTCCGGGCCAGGAGCTGCGAGCATCGTGGTAATAAGACCACCCGTACTCGTTCCGGCAATTACATCGAAATAGTCAACAAGTCTTGCATTTGGACCGTCTAGTTCCTGTATTATATTGAAAAATATTGTTACGAATCGACGAAAATACGAACGATCGTAGAATAAAAATAATATACGATTAATTACCTGGAGTTTGGATTCGAGGTGGCCGAGGATTGTGCCAGGGATGATGCCTCTAACACCACCACCATCAATGCTTAATATTGTCACCTTTCTTGATTTTGTTTGAGCATTTGAAATTGGAATTAATTGTGAAATTTGGATAGTTATTAGCAGATTAAGTGCTAATATGAGAGCCCTTTTCTCCATTTTTTTTATTCTTCTTCTTCCTGTCAAGGTAATGATGATTAGTGAGGTGTAATTAACCTCAATTACCTGTTGAACAAAGGAAGAGAAAGAAATTAACTGAGTTGTTAATGATTAATTAGCAGATGTGAGTAAGAGTTAGCCTCTAGATTATTTATAGTAAGTGTATCTTGGCCAATAGAGCACTATTTATTGGCAGGAAATAAAGCATTATCCTGTCATTGTTTGGTGTTGTCAATAATAATAATAATAATAATAAATAATAATAATAATAAATAATAATAATAATAATAATAATAATAATAATAATAATAATAATAAAAGAAATTGAAGGAAGATATTATTATTATTATTTGATGAAGCTAAAATATAGCTCACCTATGGGGTGTAGAAAATAAGCTGGGAGAGCAAAGCGGATCAGTAGCTTGATAACTGGATGATCCTGAGGTCCCTACAAAATGAGCACACGTGAACTAAGCCGGGGGTTGATCCGGCGGAAACCCCTCCGACGCTCAAGTCAGATGTGTGGACCGTAGAGAGAGTAGAGAGAATAAAACTTGAGGTGAATTGCCAATAATGAGAACGTACCTCAATAAATGAGTAAAACATCTATTTATATATCGTTGAGTAGGTTGGGCTTACTTTGTTGGGCCCAAGCCTAACTTTGAAGGAGCTTGGGCTTTCGTGTAATGGGCCTAATTAGTAGATAAAATTGAGGGCCCATTGGGCCGGCCCATTTAGGTATATCATTAAGCCCCCCAACTCTCGATTCGAGATGGGGACTTGTATAGAGGGATCCGGGTCGTGTCGAGAGTTAATTGTGTCGTGGTTTGAATTGTTTCCGTTGGCGGTGAATTGATTCCTTAATTTAAATTAGGGATAATTATATTTATTTGGCAGCGAGGTATATATTTAAGGGTTTTAAATAATATACCAGGGCCAGATAAATAAAATCCTTCTGCGGTGGAAAGAATTTATCTTCAACTCTCGAGTAATAAATATGGGTATGTATTTTTAACTTTAAGTCTTCTTCTGTGCTCTTGCTTCTCCAAAAAATATTTTTGTGGTAGAGTAGAAATTTTTGTTTCTTGATTGCTTGCTTGGAGGAAAATATTTATCATGTCGAATCCGGGTAAGTCGAAATCTTTACGAATTAAACTTCGAGATCCGGTTGAAGGGGGCGAGAAAACTTTTGGTTCCGTGGGCATGGAACGCGAGAAGTTTGTAACATCGGGTGCAAAAATCGGATCTGCAGTAGTAGGTTCACGGACTATGGGGAAGGGGTCCAAAGTAGGTGGCTCGGAGACCGGAGTCGGCTCGAGCCGTGTAGTTGGGCGTCCAAAACAGAGTGGGGGCGCGCGTTTTAATGCAGAGTTGGAGCCGAGCCAAGCCGTGGAGCCGGCGGCTTGCACCCGGACCGAGGAGGGGAGGGAGAGAGAAAGCAGGCCACATGGGCCTGCTGCTGTCGGTGCGTCCTGCGTGGTGGAACGCGCGCGCGGGATAGGGCCGTGTCCCGACGCGCGCTTGGTGGCAGGTGGATTGGGCAGAGATGACGCGCGCGCGCTGCCCAATGAAAGGGCGCGTGCGCGCGCGTCGATGGAGAGTGGGAGTGCAGGTGACGCGCGCGCGCTGCCCACTGAGGGCGCGCGTGCGCGCGCGTCGCTGGGGCGTGTGATGGCGCGTGAACGCGCGTGTTTGGCTGGGAACGAGGCACGTGGCCTTGCTGCACTGGAGGACGCGCGCGCGCGTGAAGAAGTCCCTTTTGGGGTTCCGCGCGCGCGTGAGGGCGCGTTAGAGGGTGTTTTTGAGCCCGTTTCGGGCGAATTTGATGGGCGAATTTCCGAGGGTGCTGATGCGCTTGGTGTTTTAAACGGAGGAAATTTAGATCGACGAGAAATTATTGAATCTTGGAGTGACGATGTACAAAATAGTGATAATGTTCTCGAGCGAGTAGATGGGGTTGTGGCTAGCAGGCGTTATTCCCGGCGCCAAATAGTGGATTTTGGGAGCGATAGTGACGATTCTAATCAAGCACCGTTGGCGAGCGATCATGCGGTGCCAAGTAACGAAATTGAGTCGACGGATGAAGAGGAGGAGGAAGATGATATTCCACCAGGTGATGTTGAGGTAGACACAAGGAGGCAGAAGAAAATTAAGCCAATTAATTTGGACTTAGTTGATTTTGATAGTGTGTTGACGGAAGAGCATCTGCACTCTATTCGTCGTTTATCTGGAGCGCCAAGTAACGTTGAGTTGTTGTTGCCTCAGAAGGGTGACCGTTTGTATTCGCCACCCGATGGATTTCATACGGTGTTTTTAGGTTACTTGACGTGTACATCTCAGATTACACCGCATCCGACCTTGTTGAAGATCTGTGAGGAATTCAAGATTGGGTATAGTCAGCTAACGCCCAGTGCTGTTCTGATTTTCCAGGCGTTTCATTTTAGGGTGGTTCGAGTAGGTCTGCCTGTGTCTGTGAGTTTATTTAAGGCGTTATTTACGTTACATCGGCCCAATAAGATGCCTTTCTTTTGCTTTCATCCTCGCGTTCATTACCAATTCGTGAAGAGTGTGAAGCTATCTTTGGGGAAATGGAAGAACTATTTTTTTTACGTGAGGGCTCCCACTTTTGACGTTCCCGTAGTTTGGAATCCTACGTGTGAGAGTTTCGCGATGACTGCAAATATGGCGAAGAGGATTGAGGAATCTGGGTTGTGTGATGTGGAATTTGATCCGAGGAGTTTGATACCAACGGTGAAGGGTCAGCATTGTATATCCTTTTGTTGCCTTGACTTGTGTTCCTCTTCTTTGTTGTTTTTTTTGTTTGTTTTTTTTTTTTGGTTTTTTTTTTTTGTAGTTTATATCCCATGTTTCTTATGTATTCGTTATCTCTTGTAGATGGGGGTATCACCTTTGCGGCACTTCAAGCTAAGGCGAATGGGACGTCGAAGAAGGCATCGAAGAAGGCATCGAAGAAGGTACCCTCTACCTTGGGAGGTTCTTCAAATGGTTTGCCTCGTGGGGAGGTCCATGTAGAAGCTCCTCGAGTAGTCGCAGATGATCGTAGCAGTGCTGGTGAAGTGGAGGGGCGTCTACCGACGAGGGACCGTGGTAAGGGGAAGAGGGTGGATACCGAGTATGTGGCTGTGCCTAAGCGTCCACGGGTAGAGCCAGAGGAGACTTATGCTTTCCATGGTGGAGGAGGGAAACAGCTGTTTACTTATGGAGTAAACCGCGATGGTAAGGAGTCGTACTGGGATGTGTCGGATTATGATTTGCCGATGTTGAGTACCGAGGGTTTCGTTCGAGAGTATGATCGTGCTCGGATGTCTGGTAAGGGTCCTTCTCATATGCTAGAGTTAGCTGGTGGAGACATATGTCGGGTGAGTACTTGTCTATTTAAAACAAGATTTTATGTTTAATTCTCTCTTGGCTTGCGAATAATATTGTTATTATTATTATTATTTTTTTTTTATAGTTGGTAGCGACTTGGAGATATCTCATGGAGCATGGTAGGAATGCGGAAGCTATGAAGGGAGAGGAGAGGGCTCGAGGTCAAGCGCGTGAGGATGATTGTGGAGGAGACCAAGGTTAATTTCCGAGGTAGTGATGAGTGTGCTGCTATGGTTGAGGAGCATGCATTGGCTGTGGTTTATAAGCCATTAGTGCGTTCTTGTCGCAAATATCTGCGTGATGCGGGTGGGATCAGCGAGGAAGTGATTCGTGGGATGGAGGCTGGTATATCCGATGAAGATGAAGATGAGGTCGATGGCAACGAAACGGGCACAGAGCTCGTGGATGACATGGTTGTTGATGACTCCACTGTGAGGGCGTCTTCTGCCCGTGGTGGTGGAGTTTAGATATTTTTGCTAGGATAGTTATCTTTCCCTTCTTGTTTTTGTTTTTTTTTTTTTTTTTTTTTTTTTTTATGCTGATGTAGATGGGTATGTCCACTACTATTTCGTTTGACTTTCTTCCTTGTTTGACTTTGAAATTTAAAATTTCGATTTATTTATTTTGACATTGTCAATAATTACTGCGTTGCTTTTATGTGTTTACATTTAGCATTGTACGCGATGTACTTGAGGAGGGGATCAGTCTCCCAAGGTTTTTGTTAAGGGTCGTGCCCTTCGTTTGGACCGCTTGGGTCTTAATTATATTTGTCCGTGGCCACGTTTTAAAATGACCACCTCGTGAAACAAGTAGAGGGACTTAGATAATCCAGCTGGCCAGGCTATATGGATTATCTAAATCTCTTTAAGTGTTTATAGGGTGGTATTGAATTAGACTCCTGGTGAGAAGTAGTTTATATCGATGTAAAGGCACAGATAGTAAAACGAAAATTGTGATATATTCGATGATAGCAAAGTAGAGTTGTTACAAGCCGATGTGAGGCGAATTTAGATAAATCGCTAATGCGATGGGCCTACATGAGGCGGAGGTAACTAACTACTGCTAAAGCAATAAATTGTCTTGATAATAATAAAAAAAATAAAAATAAAAATGCTTCTGAGTGATTGTGCTACACTTGTTCTTCTCCCACGTCTTCCTTGTACTTGGTCGTTTCACTGTGCGGATGGTAGATTGACTTCTTTTGGCGTCTATATGCCTGTCAAGTACAATTGAGAAAAAGAGAATCTATTTAATCACTTGTATTGATGGTATAGTAATTGAAGCTATGGTGATGTGTATTGCTCTTTCACGTACCCTACTATGGGGGTTGATATTTCTTTCTCGCGCTCCCAGATATGAAACGAATTCGTGAGTTGCTATGCCATCATGCCCTTGACGATGTGGTATAGAGTATCTTCGGTCTTTGGGGGATTGATTGAGTAATATGCATCTTCCCATAATAGGTTCTCAACCTGTAAGAAGATGATGGGATGTGATTATGACTTGCTGATGTAAGTGAAAATTACTAGCCCCCCAGTTTAGGTGGGACGTTCACGTACCTCGTTATGTGTTGTCAAATTTCCCACCATGTATAAGCAGCTTTACAAGACAATTGACGTGGAAGGTCGTGGAGCCTGCATGGGTAGCAATTCGTGAGTAATTTTCCTATAGAAGAAATATTGGTGATGGTCTCAACTGATCTGAAGTAAGGTAGATGTATACCTTAGGCGTAGAACCGTTTAAGGTTCCCTATATTCCAAGTTCTGGGTATAGGGTGTCCGTCAGTGTTCTCGAGGCGATATGCTCCGGTGTTGACGACTTTGGTGATTTTATAC